TGGATTAGAGAGTCAATGGTAAATTTTTCCTGCCTTTTGATGTGTTTGCTAATTGCTATAAATTGACCTCTGATTACGGCTTTGGCTGTTTCCCATATGGTTCATTATTCTGCCCAACTTTTTTTTACAGAGAGTTGCTGGAAATTAGAAAATAAATTCACTCTATTGATACTGTTGTTTAGAAAGATCAGGTATCTTACTGTGACAAAAACAATAAAGAGAGAGCAAAATGATTTGACAGGGAGTATAGGTCTGCCTCCGTTGCTCCATAGAAATAATGTTCTGTGAAAATGAACCAGGAAAGAATTCAGGTACCCAAGGCAGCCAAGGATAGGTCAGACAAATTCGATTCCCAATACAGATCCTGTATCCATTATAGTGCCATGGATTTTAAGCCTATTGATGATAGAACACACCAGCAATAAGAGCAAAGGACTAGATGGAACAAAACCACTAGTAAGTTCATTAAGTTACTTTTGAAGAAACTGCTGTGGATAGTAAAAATAAGAATAAGTCCAAAGATAAATCAACTGCTCTTAGAGTAGCCATGTCACTTTAAGATGAAATACTGAAGTTTTACTTTCTTAAGGACTATTTTCTCAGAGTACAATGAGATGTTCAGGCTTTTTCACCTCATACTCTGATGTTTCATGAAGGCTGAGCCAGCATTCCATCTTTAATTAGATGAAGCAGTAGCTGGGCAAGAAGACCCTGGATCTCTGTGAAGTTCCTGTTGACTGTTGTTATTTCATGCAGTGGAGTTAGCGGCAGCTAGATCTATGCACAAAGAAACAGCAATGCACAAAACACAGTCCTGCACTGTCCCCATGACCTGTAAGGGGTATCAGACCACTTAGACCAACTGAAACTTCCAGAAATAGATGACTTCCTTTTCTTCCCAAATTGTTTTAGTGTGGAATTTATGCTAGAACTTGCTTATCATCACAGCAACAGCCAGGCCTTTAATCTCAGGCTCACAGTGAGGACCCAGAATGCCCCTGCCTTGGCCAAAAAACTTGGATCTCCCTCAAGGAAAGTGAGAATTTGACCACTGAACTGCCACTGGTTCCTTCAGACAGTGGAGTCTGTATGTTCATCTCTGGAGACATTATCTCCAGGGGGATAATAGAGATCTTCAGTTCTAACAGTAATCTTACCTGTCCTTATGCTTTCTTTCTTCCAATTTGAGGAATACTATGTAAGTTTTATTTTGGTGCAAATCAGCCATACAGATGTGCAAAATAAACACTGTGAAATATTTAAAAGGAAATACATCTGGTCAAGGCAGCATTCTGAGAGATCATTTCCAACGTAAAATCCTAAAAGATTTCTTAGACATTCTAAAAGATAATTTCAGATGTAACAAACAAAAAAAGTCCTTCCCAGGTTGATCCTCCCTTGTCCTGATCATTGTAGTGTTCACTGTCTACACACTCTGTCTGTCCTTCCCCTCCCTGACTCAACCCTTCAGCTGCCCTCCTATTTTCAGTTTCTCTGGGGAGAGGTGGGAAGGTTTTGGCAGTGGGGGTGTGTTGGGGTGGGGACTAAACCAGTCTCTTGCTTGCAGGTGAGTCTGGGGACCAATGGAAATTCCCTATCCACATGGTTGCTGCAAGAGGGAAACTGGCGTTCTCAGAAATCTTTCTTCAAAATTTTCTTTGATCCTTTTATTTTAGTCTAGTGTTTATCTCCTTCTTCTTTTCCACCTGTGGTTCCAAGGTCCCTGGGTTCCAAATCTTCTGATCATTTTGAAATAGGTTGTGCAAAGAGTCAGTAGCCTGAATATACGGGACACTAGACAAAGAACAAGAGTAGGGGTGTCTCATTGTTCTTCACAGAAACTTTTCAAAATTCCTAGTTTTATCCTTAACTATACCCCTCACCATGCTGCTACACACACATACACACACACACACACACACACACACACACACACACACACACACACCTTTACGTAGAACTCTTGCCTTTTTGGAGTTCTCCACAGTAAATCACATTCTTACTATCTCCACACCTTGCCAAAACTTAGGTGTAACACAATTCTTTCAATTAATTCACCAAAGGATCATCCACTTTGGAAGAGAGGCACAGTGATCATTTTCCCAAAAAAAGAGTCCATGAAAACCATATCGTTCACAGCAGTAAGGGTTCAACCTTTGTATGGGGTGCAGTCAGTAAAAACATTTACATTATAAAGTCATCATTGGAGATGGAGGTTACAGAATACTCTTAATTTAATTGAAGGTGAATTGATTGTGTGCCTTAAGATGATTTGATAAAGCAGATTTCATTGATAATTTTTGTACTTTTTCTTGCTTATTATGTTAGTTTTGAATATTGTTCTTTTACTATCTTAAAGCTGGAAACCCACCTACTACTTTAAATGTGCAAATTACCCACCAGCCAAATGCAAGAAAATCTCTGTAGTTCCCTAATTTGAGGAAAACTCAAAGTAGGTCACTTGCCTAAAGAACTATCACTAAGGCCTCCAGCTAGAAACACATTTAAACGGAAACCCAATGCAGAATCTTTCTGTGAGAGGCAAAGGAAGGCAGCAATAATTTTCATTGAATAATTTAGGAGGAACTTCTTTGCAGAATTTACTTAAAAAACTGGTAATGAAAACAACCATTAAGTCATAATAGTACTGTCAAAACATCAAAATTCAGTTCACCACATGTAGTTTAACTACATTGAAGATTTGCAGAGTTTTATATTTTTAACAAGTGTCTCATAAAAAGTAGGCAAATGTCTTGAAATAGCAAGGCAATATTATCACAAAGATTTTCAAAAATGTAGAAACAACATATACATGGAATGGAGTGCTTCATCTAATTTATAGGAAGGAACCACACAGTATCGTGGGAGTCCCAGATAACAACTATGTGGCCACTAAAATTGACACTGGTAGATGTTTAGACGTAAATTTCATTTCTAAATTAGAATTTATGCGTAAGAAGGTATAATTCTCTTACATGTATTCCTTTAGTAACAAAGTGGTCATATTTTAAGAACACAGCATTTTTCTTCAATCCTTATATCATTGGTACCTGTATTATTTATGTACGAAATATAGGAGGGGTCAGTCTAATGATTCTCTTTGAGCTTTTCAGAGAATTCTATTGGAAATAAGATTATGGATTTACAAACCTTGTAAGAGCTGATGGTAAAACTCATTTTACTGAGATCCAGGGGCCTATTTAGATTATCTTCTAGAAATCGTAAAAGCTCCTTTCTTTGTATATTATTAAAGCATATATGATATGTATATATAAAATAATACATTTAGCTTTTAGGCACTAATTATTAAGGTCTGCCAATTAATTTGGTTTTTCTCCCATTCATTCAGTAAATGTTTCTTTAGCACCTAACAAGTACATTGTACACTGCAAATGTACATCCACACATATTCCATATTCCCTGGGCAAAACCTAACATTCATTTGGAGAATGATCATTGAGGATGCTTTCACAGAGAATGATAGATTACCTGCATTGCTCTCTAGTCCTTGATCTCTGTTAGATTTAAGATAATCTACTCTCAATATGAACTAACTTCAAATTCAAACTAAAGAAACAAAATGTAAATAATCCATTAATATCACAATCTACTCAAATGTTAAAATAAGCAACTTCCTATGTGAGTTACCTCATTTTCACTGACACTGGACTAATGGAAAACAATGTTTTACAATCCACTTACCTCTCATCTGTAGCCCCTTTCCACAAGCTTCACTGGTGCCCGCGATTGCCTGCCTGACAGATTCTGGCACTAAGACACAAGGGCCCCATTTCTGTGGCTTCCACCTGTGATGACAAAGAACAGGAGGTGAGAAATATCACCCTGACAAATATACAAAGAAAATGCTAAACATATATGCATCTAAAATCCAGAATGATAAAGGTAGCAGTTAAACAAAAACAGATGTGAATTCAATCTGCCATATTCAGAAGCCAACCACCATTAGGGATGACAATAGACTACAGTGGCAAGAAGCTGCGCTGCAGTCCTAAAGGCATGTGGTTCAAGGCTCCACAGGGAGAAGCTGGGTAATCCCCTCCTGTGCAATTAACCCCCTCTGAACACCCCTTCCCCCACAGGGTAAACCATGGGTCAGTTCTGACTCTACAGTACACAAAAACAGTAACTCATTTGGTATTAAATATAAAAGTACAGGAGCTCTGGTGGCCTAGCGGTAAGAAGCTATGCTGCAATCCCAAAGGCATACAGTTGGAGGCCACCAGCTGCTCTGTAGGAGAAGTATAGGCAATCTCCTGCGGAGCGATTAACTGCCTCTGGAAACCTGCCAGAAGAGGGTCAGCCATGGGTCGGTTCTGACTCTGTGGTGCACAACCACCACACTGCACTGAGATGGAGGCAAAAGAGACTTATTTCTTTTGACAGTGATCCTAGGAAAGAGAAATGGACCCACGCTAATAAAATACCAAACTTTCTGCTTCCTCTAAGGAATCACCATTGAGGCTTTCTAGCGTTTGTTTGGTTTGGGATTTTTGAGGCATTTGGATTTTTTTGTTGTTATTTTTCTTGTTGGGTTATTCCCTTGTTGAGAACAACAGGATTCTTTAATGTTTATGACTCATAAGTGTCTTGCATCTTTAAATGAGTGTCCTCATAGCAACACAGAAAAACCCAAATCCTAAGTGTCATCACAAATTCTACTCATTTACGTGGTATAGTATTACACCTTTTCAATGGAACCAATTCCTCTAATACAGTCCACTTCAAAAATGAAATAAAAATACAAACTAAATATACCCCTGGCCTCATCCAACTGGCCTCCAGATTGGAAATACATGAAATCTTAGGGAGAGGTGAGAAAACAGCTAAGTAGCAAAATTTGTTACATGTAAAGAAAAGGATAGGGTTCTAGTCGGTTTAGATCTATGGTGATTAATTTTATAAAATACAGTGTGTGAAAATGATAATATGAAATACAACATGACTGAAGGAATGTGTGAAATACAATTTATATAAATGAAAAAATACTTCTAAAAAGGTACAATAAAACAAAATTTAAAAAATAAAAAAGAAGTAATTTATTTTTAATAGTTGTAGATTTTCTTCATACATACAAATGCTTGTAGGGTGCAATTACAAGGATGTATCAAAATGTAACAAAATTGTATTCTTCAGAAAGCAATTTTCTACTAGGACAAGCCATTGATTCACATCACTTAAACTGAGTTTACATAGGCTTTACTGCAAAATTAAATTGAGGGATTTAATGTAGTTGAGCTTCTTGAATGCACTGAAAAAGTAGAATTCAAAACACCCTTTAAACTCCGCTTACGGATGACAAACCTGGGCTCAAAGACGTTGACTGCTTCACTTAGGGCAGATAATGTCAGTCTTCAATTCCTACATGCTCGGGAAAATTCTCTGGGCTACACTGCATCATCAATTTCATACTGGCACTAAAGTACCAATTCTGTCTTCCTCTTCTAATTTAACATGTTACATGTTTCACAGAGAAAATGGTACAGAAATAATGAAAGTTTTATCTGGTAAATGTGTGCATACATGACCTTAATGGAGAAGAAAGTCATCATAAGATAATGATAAAGGTCTATCTTAACTTGCTTCTCATGATGGCTGCTTCTTTTGTACAGCTGACAGAGAAATGAAAAACCACAATTGGTAATCATATTGCTCAAAATTAAAGTGCAATTAACTAAAGTGCAAAGAATCCAGAATTGCTTCCTCAGAGAACCATGAAGGAGGAATGTCACTGATGAAAACGAGTTCAAACATGAGTGGCTAAGTTGAAGTGAAACTACAGAACATGCATAGATAGCATAGTGATCTAGTTCATGGAAGTTGCTTTGCTAACCCAAACCACTCTAGTGGTTTGAACCTGCCAGTAAATCCAGGGGATTAAGATCAACAATTTCCTCCCATGTCATCTGTAGCCTTGGAAATCCACTGAGACAGTTCTAACATAATAGCTGAAAGGGTTTTGGGGTTTTTTTTTGTTTGTTTTTTGTTTGTTTGTTTGTTTTTTAATTATATGGACAAGAAATTGGAAGATCATCCTCATAGTTTCTGGAGTATCTCTGCTGGATTTGTAAAGAAACCTGATGACATTTGATTTGACTTTTTCCACTTGGCTGTTTTCCTTCAGAGCTCTTCTGCTGGCCACAGACATTTCAATATTTACACATGGCACAAAAGGATGAATATTGACAGTTTCCACAATGGTCCCGTGGTAATGAGGACAGACTGGTCGCTTCTGGGCATGTTCCCAGTGTTTATTCATAAGCTTCCCAAATTGGTCATCAGATAGAAAGAATGAGAGTAAAAGAAGATAAAATCAATATTAATTTAGGCTTCTTCAATGACATTCTAAGCTTTGTGTGGGCTGTTCTTTAAAAATGAAATAAAAGAATTAATTTTTTCCTGAATAAATTAGCTTTTTAATTGCATAGATTTAATTGAACCACTAGGTATTTTTGTCCAAGGAATTTGTAAATGTGCTGATGACTGTATGATTTTTAAATCCATGGGCTATTTGGACAAATCAGTCAAACTCAATAGGAACTGGACTGAATTCATGCATATACAAAAGAATGTTTCAGTCAAGTAAGTGCTGAGAGCGCATGTTTACGGTTAAATACATGAGGTTCAGATACTGCGTTTATAAGTAACAGTCATCAACAAACACAGAAGAGATATATACAGTTTTAAAATTCCTCATTTTCTTCTTTTTCAAAATATTTTAGCTGTAATTTCTTATTTCCTTTACAAGCTGGTTCCTTAAAATGTACATATAATGGAAATTTTAAAATAAAAAAATTCAAATTAAGCAACTAGAAATTGAGATAAAGTTCTTCTTAGATTTTTTTATTAAAGGATTCAGGATTAGAAAGATATTTATTTATTTATAATGT